GAAGAAGAAGAAGAAGAAGAAGAAGAAGAAGAAGAAGAAAAGAAAAAAATGTAAAAAGTGATTAAATATAGAAATGAGAAACATTATCACAAAATACTTGCTTTTAGGAGGCGTGGGCTGCGCCGCCGGAGGCCTTGGCACACAATACCTTTACGCTATATGTCCAAGATGCATTCACGGGTATGAAGCCAATGAATTTCACATTTCTACTTGGTCGTGCCCCCCAAACATCCTACTGCATACACACAGTATCTCCACATCAAAGAACAAATTCAAAATCCAAAACACTTTTGATTCCAAGCATTTTGGATAAGGGGGATTCAGCCTATGTACTTATTCAGAGATTTACAAACCGCAAAAATAAAAAAGGGATAATTTTGATTATCCAACATGTACAAAGAGTGATAGACAAATAAGGTGAATATTTAAACCAAAAACTTATTACAGTAAAAGGCACGTTGCCTTGAAAGCCCCCCACTCCTCACGCTCGTCCTTTCACCCTTCCAACCCCCTGCAGCAGCTCTGGAGACCCCTTTCCGAGGGTCTTTGGTTGCGCTCTTGTGGTCGCCTCAATGTCCTGAATCGATTAAAAATGTTTCCTTTCACGGTCATTCCGGATTCGGGGAGGAGCCGGAAGGCGCAGGGTGGCCGATCCACTTGGGAAGGTGGACGAGGCCCCTGCGTCCTGTGGGAGCCTGCCTTTCTGCTGGATGACGTGCCTGGGCTGCATTCATCTTAATTTTGATCACATTTCACGAAGACCCTAAAGAGGACTTCCAGCACTGCTCCAGAAAGTGGCGAGTGTGAGGCCAGCTCTGGTGGTGCACACCTCTAATCCCAGCGCTCAGGGGAGGCTGAGGCAGGAGGGTTGCTAAGAGTTTGATGCCAGCCTGGGTGCTCAACTAGTCTCTGAGCAAAAGGCAGCCGGCAGAGGCAGGGACTCATCGGGACCCGTTGGCCTCGCAGGGCATGAACCACCAGTACACACGCCGTGAGGTCTTCTGCGGGAACACCTGCCACGACCTCACGTGCTTCTGGGAGCGGGAGATCCGCAAGCAGATGTGGCGCCGGCAGTCGGAGGAGCACCGCCTGGGCCGCAGCGCCCTGAGAAAGTACGAGGCCGGTGGGGAAGGGCTTCGGTGTTAATGAGTCGGCTTTTCCAACTGAGCTGTATTTCTAGATCGCTTTTAGTGCATGACCAGTTTAGGGTTCGGTGAAAGCCTTTCCGTGTGCCGCTCCCGCTGCCGCAAAATCCCTCGCTGGACTCTCACTACCCTCTTGGTTGGTGTTTTTATTTATTTAACTTACTTTTGGGCTGGGAAGATAGCTCAGCAGAATAAGCGCTTGCCTGACAAGCTGAAGGTCCTGAGTTCAACCCCCAGGACCACAAAAAACCAAAAAAAATTTAAAAAAAAAATTTTTTTTTAACATTTATTTATTGTGTGTGTGTGTGTGTGCGCGCGTGTGTGTGTGGCCAGCTCAGCCCACCAGGGGGCGCGGCGGGCTGGCATGTGGTGCTGGAGGATCGAACCGCGGTGCCTGTGCTTTGCCAAGCTTGTTCCAAGTAGGTGCTTTAGACCACTGAGCCATCTCACCAGCCCTGGATGTTGATATTTTAATCATGTCTACACCTATCCTTGAATTCTCTGTAAGCAGAAAGAATCTCTATTATCACCACGTGCAGCAGTGTGGGGAGGAGGCTGCAGCACACGTCTGTGAGAAGTGATCGAGCAAGTGACACAGTGGCCGATTCCCAGCACACATCTGGGGGAGACCCCAGGTGCTTCTCAAGAAGAGCCAGAGTCCCTCTGCCCCATTCTTTGCAGCCCAGGGTGGCCACTGCAGTGGAGTGGTGCCCTCTGCCCCAAGCTCGGGGGAGGCACCCTAGGCTGCAGAGGGGCTTTGAACTTTCGATCCTCCTGCCTCAGCCTCCCCATTACCCTGGGATTACAGGTGTGTGCAGTCACACCCGGTTAGAAAGCATCTCTATTTCTCTTGTTTCTGAGGGGAACTTTGCTGTGGGAAGAATTCTAGGAAAGATATTCTCTCTTGTATTTAGAGACTCTACCTTTGAAAGAAAAGTTAAAGGTGGGTGTGAAGCACATTCCTGTTATTCCAGCTCACAGGAGGCTGAGGCAAGAGGATCACTGAATTCTAGGCCAGCCTGGGCTCAAGACTCTATGAATAAAAACACATTACCATATAATTAAGTTTGCACCTGGGAGATCCTGGGTGGCAAGAGCAAGGTCCCCAGTTCTAGCCCCGGTACCACAAAAATAAACATCATCATTAAAATAAATTTGCAAGTCCCCTGCATGCCCTTTTGAAATCTGAACGCGCATAGTTTCGGCGGGGCCTGGGAGCAGCGTCCCTGGGGCCTCTGCCTCCTGCACCGTCTGTTTCCAGGCTGCGGGAAGAATGGAGGCAGAAGCTGGAATCCAAGCTGGGGCTGCGGAGCCCAGAGCAGACAGAGAAGCGGCAGAGCCCCAGCTGAGCGGCAGCCCCTGCACCCGTCTACCCGAGAGTCCCTGCGTCCCCGACAGCGGACCCAGGAGAGGGCTGCCCTTCCATCTGGCCCAAGCCCTTCAGGGACATCGGGGCGCTGCCCACTGTCCCGGCTCCACCCTGGGTTCCCGAGCCAGCTTCACTCACGGAATCTTCTGATTTTGGAATCTGCATACTTTTAATTCCTGAGCGCACCGAGAGGGGTCCAATCTCGTGCCAGGCTCACCCACCACAGGGCAGCCTCATTCAGTCCTTTCTCCTGGAAAATCCGGTTTCCTGCAACCCCTTCTGTTTGCTTTGTAGGGAGAGAGAAACGCCCCTACCTGTAGAAATGGAAATAGTGTAAATAAACAAAATAAGGTTTGAAATAAGCTGAGCCTTGTGTGAATGTAACGGGCTTTTTCAACACACACTCACGCTGATAATACCAGCGCGGTTGTGATCAAATCCCCAGGTTCCAGCTGGCTGCTGTGCCCTCGCTGTCCTCACGCGGTTCCAGAGGCCACAGCAGCCAGGTCCAGGAATCATCTCTACCCGAGGCGGGTGCCAGGGACACTGGATGGAAGCTCTGGGTGGCCCTGGCTGATGGTGACCACCGGTGACACCAAAGGGCCTTCTGAACACAGTGATAGGTCACTGCCGCCCAGAGAGCCCCGAAGCTGCCCCCGCCCCCCATCTCCCTGAATCCTCACCCCCATCGATCGCATAGGCTGTGTCGTTGTCCTCACGCCTCATCACACCTGAGAGTACGTGGTCACACTGGCTCTGCGTATCCCTGCTCAAGCTATCTCCTCCGCACTCGGGACTAACTAAACACAGGCAAGTGTCCAGGAGCAAATGATGCTGTGAAAACTGAACGCGCCCCAGGTTCTACAAACTGCGATTTGGGGAGTCAGACAAATGGACCGCAGGTGCTGCGCTCATAAGCTGCTCTCATACTTTAACTGGCAACATGGGAGGGCTGGGTTTTCTTTTCTTCCTTTTTTTTTTTATTATTTAGTACAAGGTCTACAGGGTCTCACTACATAAATCAGACTCGTAGCGATCCTCCTGTTTTTAGCTTCCCAAGCCCAGGGATTACAGGCGCACGCCACCATGCCCAGTCTCAATAGGGTCTCAGCGAGCCCAGGGGCGGGGCCAGCACTGGCAGTGGATCCCCGGTCCCTGCAGCTGCCTAAGCAGGCCTTTAGGAGGCTGGGTTTTCCTTCCCTTTGAAAAGTAAAAACTTTCAGGGCCCAGGGAGATGGCTCAGTAGAACAAGTACTTGTCTGGCAATTGCAAAGGCCTGAGTCCAAAAACCTGGTTCCACCAAAAAAGGAAAAAAAAAAAAAGTTTTTCAGGAGTTTTTCCCCTTCCCAGCCCCACCTTCTTCCACCTCATGACAAGTAATGCCTGCCTCCCCGAACCCATCCCCTACAACTCAGACTGCAATCCTGTCACCCCTGCTCTACTCTGGCCCCCTACACCTCTCATCCAGGCTACACACAAATCCTCCCAGCTTTAAAACAGGGACTCCCCTTCTACAGGCTGCAACCTTTAGAATCTCCAAGTGAGACTAGTCCTGGAACCAGCGCTGTCTCTCATAGGTGACGGTCATCGTCCACAGCCCCAAGCGCTGGACTGCACCCAGTAAGGCCGCCCACCACAGTGGCTGGGAGTTTTGACCCTCTATATGCTGTTTTATTTTTTTAATTTATTTATGTGTGTGTGTGTGTGTGTGTGTGTGGCCAGCTCAGCCCACCAGGGGGCGGGGCTGGCTGGCATGTGGTGCTGGGGGATTGAACCAAGGTCCCTGTGCTTTGCTAAGCTTGTTCAAAGTAGGTGCTTTAGACCACTGAGCCATCTCACCAGCCCTCTATATGCTGTTTTAATCAGGTTCTATAAGAGCAGTCACTCTCCTACCAGGGGTCAGATTCTGCAGGAGTCCTGGCCAGTCCCCGGGGCGAAGGCTGTGGGTTCCCAAAGACTCCTTCCATGACAGCAATGAACTCTGGCCCAAGAAGCGGGGAAGGAAGCAGACTTTGGATTGGGAGCGCCCTTCCTGTGGGGAGAGGTCTTATTATAGACAGCCAGTGGGCCAAGCAGCTTATGACTTCCTGGGGATCCAAGCTCTTTTAGGCTGACTATGCACTGAAATGGAAAGGATTTTCATTGATTGGTATGTTTGGGTTACAATTGTTTTAGCTGTTTTTTTTAAATATATGTACATAAGTATGCATAAAATGAAGTTCTGATATGTACTTTTTCATATCCACCTGTGTGCATCTTTTTTTTTTTTTTTGCGGAACCGGGGATTGAACTCAGATCCTTGAGTTTGCCAGTCAAGCACTTATCCTACTGAGCCATCTCCCCGGCCCCTGTGTGCATCTTTCTTAAATTTTTAAATTAATTTAATTTATTTTAAAATTTTACTTTCGTTTTTTGAGACAGGGTCTCAGTATGCAATTCAGGCCTTGAACTCACCATGTACTCCAGGCTGGCCTCAAACTCTCAGTGACCCTCCTTCTTCGGGTTTCTGAGTGCTAAGATTGTAGGTGTGTGCCCCTGTATCCAGAAAGGCATGTTTCCCTGGAACCCAGTAGATGGGTAGCGCAGGTCAGAGCCTTGGAGGATGAACGAGACCCAGAAGTCCAGCTCTTAGGCCATCCTAACTGGCTGGCCCGGTGACCCCTGCCGGTCTGGAAGGTCCTGGTTGCTGCGCCTGGCATGAGACAGCTGAGAAGCCCTTGACTATCTCACTTTTTCTGTGCAGGTCAGAGGGGGTTGTGGTTTGGTCAGGGGCTGTCACACCCCAGAGAGGACCAGGACAACTGCCTTCCTGCCCCACCCATGAAGCTGCTTGGTGGCCACCACCCAGGCTGCTCCAACAGGAGGTGCCGCTTGACCACCAGACACAGCAATTCCTCTGCCTCAGCCACTGCTGCCACCTCTTTGAAGAAAGAATGAGACCGCCCTGCCATTGCTTAAGTCGGGAGGGGTGCAACTGGGCCCAGTGTTAATACCCCCAAATCCCAATAGATATGACAGACACAGATAATCCTAAAGATCCCCC